AAAGGTTCAAACGCCAAAGTGGAGGTTGCACCCTTTATATCTTAGAAACTATAAACATTCGAATAACGCAAGTTTAATTATTTTGACTTTTTGAGCTCTACTATCACCTGTTAAAACATTTGCATAAACTTTGAAATCATCCTGCATTTTAAAAAAAAGTATTAGTTTCTCATTATTTTATTTACCAACCTGACAAATTTTACTTTTGGGCCTCACTCTTCAATTGGCTTGTTTTGAAGATGTCTTGCACTTGTCTCGTGCGTCGGATCAACGTGGCACAGAAAACAGTTTACAGATTGACAGAGGACAGAGGTCAATTTTTATTTGACAAATTTATTTGTCTCTATGTTGAATATCAACGGAATGCTACTGATTTGTATCCAATTTGCTTTTTATACACTTCAGCCGAAAAAACATTAGAAAAATGACATTCACTTTTTTTTTTCTAATAATACAGGGTGATTCAGCTTAAATGATCCATTTGACCCTTCTTGGCAGACTACATACATTATGCACTTATTCCTTTATTCAAAATTAAAGTTTCAAAATATCGAGAATCAAAGAATGTGTCGCTCATTTTATTTGACAAGTAAATATTTCAAAGCATCAAATGAAATGTCAACGCAGACGACGTCTCAAAGTTTCAAAAATGCCGAGATATTCATCTACAAATAATGAAGAAACTGAAATGATATTAATTTATGCTGCATCTGGTAAAAATGCTAGATTAGCCGCCGATTCATACGCTGGGCAATATCTAGAACGAGTACCTACAACATACGTATAAAATTCTTAAACGACTGGAAATGTGTTTGTGTCACTATTGGCCTGCAAGTAAGCGTAGAAGTATACGAACTGCGACTAGTTTAGAGAAGAAAATTCTGGTGTTGGAGACTGTTGAACAAAATCGGCATATTGGACAAAGAGCAAAATATTTTGCATAGTTTCCTTTTGATATGATTGTCTCAGGTAGTATAAACCTTAATAGCAAAAGTCCTTCTTTAGCCCAAAAAACTGTTGCGAAGACTTTATCCTGTAAATTTTTTGTCTGAACTTCTTATACTTAATTTTGGAATCAAATTATTGATTATTGCCTCATTATCAATTCCCTCAAATGTTGAGCAAAAATTTCTCGGTACATACCACCGAATTACCGTACAAAGTGTTTTAGCCTATCCGGTCTGACACAATCTCTGTTTGAACTGCGGTCAAAATCACAGCGGGGGACACATTATTAGAAAGACGTTCAGTCAAAATTTATTTGTTACCTAAAAAATCATTCTTTTCTCATTCTACAAATGTGTTTTTAGAATCAATCAATGAAAATTTTTCAGAGTCTAAACCTACATTGCAAAACCCTTGTGATATCGTCCAAGTGTGATGACATTAGCTGTAAAAGAGCTTAAAATCCCCCCTAGTTCTAGAAACAGACCATAATTCAAAAGCGAAAATTTTCCTTTCTAATTTTGTTTTTACCTGTTCAAATTTTGACCGCAGTTCAGATGTTCCCAAATTTCTGGACTCTTACCCAGTAGTTTCAAGATTCTCTTGAGGAGCATTGCTGCTGGATATCTTTTAGGAGAGAGTTACCTATTTCAAATTTTGAAAATTCTACCTTAAAAGTAGATACTAAAAAACGAAACCAAACAAAATTTAAATACACAATAAAAAAGCATACCACGAACAAAGTATGTAACAAATAATTCGAGCTCGAGAAATTGTTTGAACAATACTAGTGAAAGTTGATTGAAAAGTGTTTTTTGATATTTTGCGCCAAATATCCAAAGACTGCTTTATATTCTGTATTTTTTAAGTAAAAACAAAACATACAACCAAGAGATGGCACTAATTGTTTCTGTTTACCATGGCCTACTTCATCTGTCTTCCACTGCGCTCCATACGGCCGTAACATAACGAGCCAAAAGTCAATTCTCTTAACCTCAAAAATATCGTCGAAATCGTCCGGTAAGTAGTGCCATCTACTTGGTTAACTGAAAACTTTTTAATTCATATTTTGACAGTTCTAAATTAGAAATTACCTGCACCTCATTCAAAATTCCTTCTTTTTAAATTACTTTGTTACTGAAACGTTTGTCGAAGACTGAAACGACAAATTTGGTCGGCCAATGCGTGCTGAGGTAAAGTAACAGTTTTTTGGTGCTGGCAATCCTCTGGAACAAGTAGCTATTTCCATTCTAATTCTAAAAATTTTTTGGAAAACTAAGTCCGATAATAGAGAGGGTTTATATCATAATAAGACAGAAACTCGAATATGAATGTATATTCGAGAGCATTCTGTCTATTACAAATAAGCAGTAGGAACTTAGGTAAATGTTTTTATTAATTTTTGTTCATAGAATTACCACAAAGTTCCGGAGTACTCTTTAACCATTCAGCACGAGCTGCTATATCGCTAAGTATTTCAAATAAAGTATCTTTTTCTCTACAAACAAAACATTTCTTGCCGATCTTTGAACTTTTTAAAAGAATGATTGAAAATTTGACAAAAATTGTCAAATTTGAAATATCTATAGTCTTTAAGTTATCAAGTAGATGACGCTTGTTACCGGACGATTTTTTGAGGTTAGTAGAATTCAACGCATTCATATAAAATCGACAGTATGTTACGGCCGTATGGAGCGCAGCGGAAGACAGATGAAGTTGGCCATGCTGTTTACTACTGTTTGTCGTAATTTACAGAAATCTGTAAATAAAAGTAAGTGGCGCCGTCTCTTGGTTGTATGTTTTTCATTAACATATTTGCCTATGCCTGCTGATCAACCCTGATTAAAACCAAATGTTTTAGTATCCACGTTATCTTTGAAACGTACTTGTGATTGCTCCAAAAAAAAATTCAGGCTCATTATTACTCGTGGGACACCCCGTAGAGAGCGGAGTTTAGGTAAAATGTCTTTTTGATTCCATTTAGGGCCCATGGGCGGGACCCAAATTTTTGCGCAATTAGACTCTATTCGATTATTTACTACGTCTGTTTCCAAGACAGTAAATTATATTTACTCGGTGCTTTCCCAAACTCGTCTGTAAGTATTTTGTTTATTGTTGCTAAGTCGGTTAGCATTCAAAATCGAATTATAAAGTACTATAAAAATGTGATGTTTTATCAAAAATAAAATTTTTCAAAATTTTTATTTGTTTTTAAGTTCTACAAAAATATTATTTTTTTTAAATGGCAACCCACCAAAAAAAAAAAAACATTTTTCTCATGATCTAAGAGATTACAACTATCTACTTTATATTAAATTATTTTTTTATGTATACAGGGTGATTCGGATAAGATAATGAGCCCTACGTTCTTTGGATTCAACTTGCAAATCCTAATTTAAATTGGATCAAAGGCGTGGAAATGGAATTTGTTTTTTGGGTTGCATCACCAGATCGTTAGGTTCATTATCTTATTTGAATCGCCCTGTATATATTGCAATGTTGACAACAAAAATCGAATAACTCAAAAACAAAATAAAATTTTGTTCTTAAAATAAAATCGTTTTTTTTTATATTACTTTAATTTATATTAATTATTATTTTTTGGAAACAAATGATAAAAAAAACCGCTTGGTTCAATACTTTATATTTACCCAGTATAAAACGAATTTAAAAGGAAACAGGGTTTTTTTTTGTAAACTTAAAACTTAACTTAAAATCTTCGTGATGAGCTCGGAACGCAACTTTAACAATTTATTAAAAAAAAGTACTGGCTAAAAAACAATTTTATTTAAATAGAAGTCATTTTTAGATCATAATCTTTAAATAAAAAAATTACCATGGTGAGTTGCCATTTAAAAAACATTTTTTCCCAGAACTCGAAAACTAAAAGAAATTTCGAAAAATTTTATTCTTGATAAATGGTCACATTTTAATTGTACTATACGCTACACTAATTATTTTTTTCGTAAAGTGCTTACTATACGAAAAAACGCTTGGTTCCCTACTTTTTATTCACCTGGTATGTAGCTATCGCCACTTCTGTCACTTTTTCACAATGTTTTTTCTGTATGAATTAGTGAAACCTTCTGGCTCAAAATTTGTCAGTTGAGATCAGTAATAACACAGATTCTTCTTTTACACGGAAAACAAAAGTTTCTGACCAATTTCTCCTTAAAAACGCAGTTGTGACGGTGCCAGTATGACGATAGCTATAGCACGATGTCCTGGGATTGAGTTATAAGGGGGAAAAAAATTCTGACACGTCTAACAGATTTGTGCTTTTAACCAGTAGCTTTATATTTGATCAAAAAACTTTGGACAATTATTAAATTGTACCTATATTTTTATTGAAAATTTATTGTTACGTGAGCTATGTGGCAACATACAAGTTAGCAACATACAAGTTAGAACGGCACAATTTCAGGAATAATCCAGCCCCCATGTTAGCCAAATTTTACAGTTTTGGATGTTTTCTTATTATGGAAATATTTTAAGGATATAAGTTACAATGATACTGCTTTTTTATAATGTAATTTTATACAGGGTGCGCCAGAACTCGCGCCCCAGAGAAAAATGCCATATAAAGGAAGATACCACGAACATGGAAAAAATGTTAAAAAAAAATTATCTATAAAAATTTCGAAGTTATGGGAGTTTAAACTTTGCACTTTGACTCTATTTATTTCTGTTAGAAAAATAATTTTCAATTTTTTTGCCATAGGCTATTATAAGAGGAAACAAGGAAGCTCTATCCTAAATTGTAACTCTGTTCAATGTTATTTGTCGCTTTTATTGGCAAAATTTTGGTACTTTTACTAAATAATTGTAAAAAAACATATAAAAGATCATCAGTATCATTAAATAGACATAAAAAAATGTCAAATGTCAAAAAATAAATGTCAAAATAAAATTTTTTGACAGATAGAATTTTTTAAACATTTTTTCCATGTTCGTGGTATCTTATCTTACTTAAAATGTTTCTATGGGGCGCGAGTTCTGGCGCAGCCTATACCTATATTAAAGGGACTCTTTATTAATTTTTTTCTTTGTTTCAGTTCAGTGTGGAAAATGCAAATCCAGTACAAAGAGACTCAACTTAAATAAATATTGTAAGAGAGACTATGGTAAGTATTTATTCCTTTAATTGTACAAATTTTGCTAATTTGTAACACATAGAAACTCTCTTTCTGGAATAAAAATATTTTTTCTCAATTCCTCCCCAGCTTTTATTAATTGCGTTATTTTTCGTTAATAATTAAAAATCATTCAGTTTTTCCCTAGTAACCCTCGTAACTAAGAAAAAACTCGGAATCACTGCTATGCATTTTTTACCCAGGCGGGATATTGATACATTTCATTAAGGAGGTGGTGACTTAATAGATGATGATACGATAAAGTTCTAAAACAGCATTTGAATGGTTTTTTACTATTATAAGATTGGCCCCATTTTTTTGTAGCATAAATAAAGGGTGATGGGGGGGCTAATTTTAATCGGTGGCCGCATATTACTTCAATTTTTTACACTAACACAAGTGGATTTATGCCTGATTTCATGGAAGTTACTTAATCGTAAGAAATTATCAAAAGAAACTAATGCAACGCAGAACAAAAGCAATAAATCCTCCAATAAATGAAAAATACTTGCAAATTTTACCAAAAAGAGTTACAATGACGACAGTGAATTTACTGTCAATGTCAAATTGACAGATTCACTCAATCATGCCATTTAAGTGGTGTAGTAGAAGTACATATTTAAATTTATGTTCAAGGCTACCATCCTTAGAGACCCTTTAATTGTTTCAATTTATATTGTGATGGATTTTTATTTCACTTTTGTGTTGGTAATGAAAAAATGAAATTGATTACGCACAAGACTACCGTCGACTATATCTATTAATTTTCAAAATGTTAACATTACAGGTCAATAATAGACGTTACCAACTCGCTGTATACATATGTATAGAACGTTTCAAAATGATTGACATCTCGGTAGGCGTTGAGACTGTAAACCAGACTTTAATTTTAGTTCCAAAAAAGTTACTAATGTGAACATTCTTTAGATCGCGATACGTCATAAAAATAACATTTCTGTTGAATTCTGTCTGAAAAAATAACATAAGTACAAAAGAGGAAGGTTAAGAATTGAATCAGGAAACAAAAACGGTGAAATCTGAGTAAAGATCGAAAGGAAGAACAGAATGTAAGGTACTGTAAGGAAGTAGAAGTGCATATAAAGAGAAGAATGTGGTGAGATGTGTATAAAACGAGAGTGTGAAATAGAAGAGAATAATGGCAAAATTCTGATGTGCGCACAGAACAGTACTAGCACAGAACTAGTGGAATTTAAAGTTACATTTTTTAAAATAAATCTTTATTATTTCTTATTATTGGAATTGGAAGCTTTGAAAATTTTGTTGTAACAACGGCAAACTGCTCCTCGTTCTGTTTCAGTGAGATGAGGTAATGATTGTCCTGGTATTGTTGATCTTAAAACTTTGCTTAATAAAAAAAAATATCCAGAAAAATTTGTCTTGGAAAAGACATGTTTTCTAAAAGGAATAAACGTGGAACAAAAGGGACAATAGGAGAGAAAAAGCACAAAATCTATTAAAAGCGACGTATTTTCATCCTTAGTGGGTGCAATCGTACAAAAATTAACAACCTAGAACTCTCAAAGTATAAATGTTGTCACCTTAAATTTGAATTTCCATGACCTACCGAGATGTCAGTCATTTTGAAACGCAGTGTATATGTATTGTATAAATTGTGTAATTATAGTATGTACAGTAATGTCTTGCTAATCCGAACTCATAAGTAATCCGAACACATTGATTGTGTAAAATGATTTCTATAATCCGAACTTTTGACATCTGTAATTCTAACGTTTTTAGTATACATAATTAAATTTTACAATTAACACAGCAAATTCAAATTTTGATTTTTCGAGGGCAGTTTTTGCCCAAATGGACAAATAAATGTTGTTTGTAACACGTATCTAAGAAGATTTTGCTGGCTCTTTTTGCTATTCCAGACTCGGCTTCGCTGAGCAATAATCCGCCCGCAAAACCTGTGTTTTAAATACTTGTAACAAAAATTATTTTAGTGTAGACGATTGTTAAATATTAAATACTTGTTGCAGCTATTATGGCTAGAGTCTTGTCACGAATGGAGAATAATGAAGACCAACATACAAAAGGATGGACCCGCTTCATGGTAAATATAGAATTCATCTACAAAAAATCAAGAGATTCCCAAATACGTAAAGGCACTATGCCCATGGTCGTGCCAACTGCAGATCTGGCTTGTAAATGTCCTAAACTTAAACCTAACAAGTAAGTATGTATTCAAATAATTACTTTCAAAGTTTTATAGACAGACTTTTATAAGTGTTAAAGAAATTAAAACAAGTAATTCGAGACATTGTTCGTCTTAAAATGCTTATACTCCCTAGGCATTATTTGTAGACCATTTGCTCGGATTGCTTCCAAACAATTAGACTGTTCTATTAATTGGATTGACTCCACTCATTGAACTATTTTATTATACAGAGTGTTAAAAAAGGTTGTAAAATATTTAAGCAGGTAATAGTATGGACTAAAATAAAGAAAAAAGTCATAATGAACATGGGTCCGCAAAGTAACGGTTTCGGACATATCGAATGTGAAAAACAAAAAATTCAGAACAATTTGTAAGGGATATGAAAACAAACAACAATTTTTAGAATTTTTGGAAGGATAAAACCCGTGAAAAGCGACAAGCCTCGGTTGTGTGAAGTTAACATCTTTGTATTCCTTATTTCTTAAATAACTATTAGATATTGATGAAGAAATTTAATTAGATACATAAATAATAGAGTTTATTATTTTATTATACAGGCTGTCCCATGTAAGACTTTCGGATCTAATATTTCTGTTATTTGCCAACGGATTTTTATGAAATATAAAATGTAGGCAACTTAGAAGGTGGGGCTTCAATTAATCTTAATAAAATTACCTCAAGATAAAGAATATAATTTTAACACATATTTTCAAAATTTCACTACTGGATTAAATAGTCGAGGTCACCGGAGCTACCGGCGGGCGAAACATCAAAGGTTTCGCACTTGGCGCTTCTGTATAGTATAGTATTCTGTGCCCCTGCACAAAAAATTAATAAAACCACTTGTCTCAATCAGCAGAAATACGTCGATTATGTTGTTACAATTTTGACTTAATTTTTGAAAAAAAATTATCAAAGTTAACTCTTAAACGTCTCTAAGTAACATTTTGTACAATCCTGTGGTAAATTAACTTAGAATACCCTTAGAATTTTTGGAACCATATGATGCCAATGGTGCTACATACCTTCAAGCACCTTTTAATTAACTGAACTTTTATTGTACTGAACTGGTTAGCTTAAAAAATGCAGTTCCTAAATTAAGTTATTAACTTTTTTAAGTTAGAGATACAATAAACGTCAAATATCAGCGTGACAGTCAGGGGTGATTAAAATTCGGTAACATCGTTCTTTTTTTGTAGCCGCCCATGTTTTTGCATCTTCAGTTACTTTGAACACAATTTTTTTCTTCTTTCTTGTAACCGGGATCTTTTTCAAGGACATATTTTGCTTATGGCTTTTTTTATTGGCGAGTAACAATTTAATATAAATTTCAAGTAATTTAGCATTTTTAAAAGGCATGTTAAAGTCACATTTTAAGGATTAGAGCTGTTTTAGTAATGTGATATTAATCTCTACCTACTAAATACTCTACATTTCGTTAAACGCCGTTGTCAAATAAAAAAGGTATTAGATCCGAAAGTGTTAGGTGGGACACCCTGTATATTTTTGTTTTTACTTAAAATGTCAATTACCACTTCATAGAGTGGTGCGTGGTGGCAAAGTGCATGAAATTTCTAGCTGGTGCTACAAATTTTCTCAGCAAAATTTTGACTTTTTAATTTCCGTTTAAAAATAACAGATACTCGTACTTATGTGCTAATTTAAAATAATTGTGTTTTTTTTTAGGTCCTACCTGTTTTTAGGAAGAGAGAAAGACGATTCTCCTGGAGGAATTCTCACAGGTAGTTTAGGTGTCACCGAAAGATCAATTGTCATTGAATGGAGAGATGAGTGGGATCAAAGGATGCGAAGATTTCGTAGAAGAGCTCGCAAATGCAAGTAAATTAACTCGTACGTTAATGAAAGTTACTAAATTGTTCCATACATTTTGTAAAAGATGCTAGCAGTGTCACTGTGATTTAATTTTAACGTATGTGTTTAAGAGACTTAAAGCATTTTAAGGGTGCGTATGAAAGCACACTTCCTCATTTTGTTATTATCATTTTTTTGTATATACTTTATTAAAGAAATTTAATTGTATTCACGCAAATGCCAAATGAGTTGTTTTTCGAACAAAAAAACTACTTTCAGAGTTTTGGCTTGAGATACAATTTGCAAATTACAAGAGTAATATTTATTATTATAAATACATTCAGTTAATTTATTATGGCTCAACACAATGATTTATTTTCTTATCATAAAACAGTCCCGTCTGTCGTTTATAGTTTATTTGGAACAAATTCTACCCATTTCTACGGCATTTAAGCAAAGTTAATAATAGTTATTTATTGTAAGAGTGTGTTAGATTAGATAGCCTTTTATCCACGCAAGATTGTTTAACCGCGAGAACGTCAGTTCGAGCGGTTAATTTTCTTAAGTGGATAAAACGCGACTAACACACGACTGCAATATAACGTTTTGTCCACAATCACAGGCCCAAATTGTTCCAAACTTAATTAAAAATTAAACTGACATTTAAACGTCACGCCAAATGTGCTTTCGGTTAAACGTAGTAAGCTGTTACGTTGTGCGCTGATTACTAATAGTGGAATAAAGTTACTTTATTCCACTAGTGGATAAAGTGGTACTTTATACACATCTAGAGTGTGGAATAAAGTTTCTATATAGAGTGATTGTGGATAATATTATTAGGTGCCGAAATTGCATTGTACCCTGGATGTTCAAAAGCGGGTCCCATTTTAAATGTTGCAAAATTTTAAATTTTGTGGTAGAGAATTAATTGTGATGTTTATAATTTTAGTCCGTTATCCTATACTTTGAATCTCTAATTTAAACTGAAACAACTGCCAAGAGATCAAATATCCAAGTCAATACAGACAAGATGACAACGTTCTTAAATGGGTATTGTAAAATCCGTGTAACGCCATAAGTAATGTCTCAGTCATTTTGGCAATATTGTACAGGGTGATTTGTAATAGTTGTCCAGAAATTTTAAGGGGCAATAGTAGAGGATAAAAGATGCAAAAATAACTCAAGTTGCCTTATCCGAATGTTTATACTCGTAGTTTCTGAGACAAAGGGTTTTAGTCGCCATATTAATTTAAATTTGTAGCACTGTCTTAATACCAACAAAAATTGAAACATGATCTCCGAGGTTAGTTCTTCAAAATCTGTTACATTGTTTTTAAAAAAATGAGATAAAACCAAGAAAAAAATTACCTCATCTAAAAAAAATTATAATAAAGTAAAAATTTTGCATGAATTTTTTTGTGAATGAATGAATTTGTCTACTGAATATTATTACCTTAAAATGGAATAAGATATTTAAAAGATGCAAAGTTTGTTTATCTTGCATTTCTTGACGAATTTTCTGACACTAAAATGGGGGTTCCACTCACTATATCACAAAAACAATAACATTCAAATAAGGCATTTTAAATGAAATTGGTAAAACCTGACTTTCGTAGTCGTCATTTGTAAGCAAGCTTCCATTGGTGTAGCAATTGGTTTTATTTAATAGGATCCTGCACAATTTCCATTCCAGAATTTAAATTTGCATTAAATCTAAAATACCCGGTTTTTTCCAAAACAGCAAAAAAATAATAAAAAAGTTACGAAAATTACATTCGAATTCATACAGAGTACATATTACGCGGGCTAATTGTCAAGCATGATGACTTGTAGAAGGACTAGTATGGAGTCAATTAAAATTAAATTTTATTAAATAAATGTAATGATTTATTTGGAAAACCTAATTTCACTTCTAGGTGCAATTTGGTTTTTTAAGAAAATAAGTAAAGATAAACATTTTACAAATATTTTTATACGATTACATGATTTACTTTACCTTGTTTTTTGCAAATACATACATTTAACTAAACTAATTAAATTAAAGAAAGCTATTTCGGCACGCACCCTTAACAGGCTTCTATTACTTACCAAAATAATTTAAGTAAATGCAAAATTTTGTATGTACCTACACTTTATTATATGTAATTACATAATTTAATTTAATTTAATTTAAATAAATTGTATGATTTTATTACCTGTATATAATTATTTTATTATTGTCTCCTCTTGTAATAAGTAAATATTTGCATTTTTATGTACTTAAATTCTGTTTTAATTATGTATGTACTGATGATGGGTTTCGGGTATTAATGTAACTAGTGAACCCTCTATATAATATTGTAGAGCATGATCATAGAGAGGTCTGAAAATTGCGTTTTCAAAAGTGGAGAAACACAAAATGGGTTTCTTAGGTTGGTTTTCGCATGCAACTGATTCAGGATGGCGATTCTATACTTCAATATTTTTTTCCAATTATGAATAGAGAAATCAGCAATATTACATTAGTATACACGGTGATTTAAAAGGGTCATTTATATCGCCGTTTATGTGGCGAGCAAAAATATCCTTAAACGGACTGATATGCTAACTTTTCTTCGTCGCGTGGTTTTCAAAATATGAAAATTTGAACATAGCGCAAATGGACAACACTGCAGTACCTCTTGAACCACTTTATTTCTACATTCAGTCTGATACCGTCATGGATACCTTTTTATTTACTGTTATGTTTCTATGTATAGTGACAACAAATTTTAATGTGTTGTTATCGATTTTATCTCAGCTTTTTTTCTTGTTTTACTTATTTTTAAATTTTGGCAATTATTTTTGTGTTTTACAGCCGTGTAAAATAAAATTAATAAAACACAAAATTATTTTATATTAACAAAAAATTAATATCAAAGTAGCAACTTCCAAAACCCTCCGACTAATGATACTCTCCTTTTGAATCACCTTGTGTATAGAGTGGAACTGAATCATTTTTGTCAATACGCTAATGGCATATTCTCTATGCTTGGAAGATAATTTGTAAAAGGATTGTGATATAATACGGCCAAAGAGGCACTGCATTTTTTTAATACCTTTATATTTCAAATTATGTTAGAGCTTCTAATTGGCTTCTATGCAATATGGCCAATACAATAAAAATCATAAGTAATAATAATACACTATAAATTCAGTTCAAGTAAAATTTAGAAAACTTGATTAAAGAGGGGGGGAGGCAAACAGTATTTATTGGACATTCTGAAATTCAGGAATTTCATTTCGTTTCTAAAAACGGATAAACGTTTCAAATTTCATAAAAGTGACTTTTTTGGAACATGTTGAATTAGATATGAATAAAATATTTATGAAAAACATTTGAGTACATAAAAAACACCGTCGGCTGGGGGTACGCTTCTTTTGAATCTCCACGTTGTTGTAACTAATTTTTGTAGTAGCTAGTTTTCCTGACTAACACCAAACCAAATTCTCCTCTTCTTCGAAATTGTTAATTGCGAAATATTTGTTTATTCGCTCCTCCTTGTGTCTATACTCCTTCAAACTCGCCTCGATTTGAGCCAATTTTTTCTCTACTTCTCAACTAAAATAATTATCAATTTCTTGAAGCTTTTTAATATCTTGGACTAGAATAGTGTAAGTGATCAAGTCTTTCCTTTTTTTTTAATGAAAACCTTATTTTCCTGCACGAATTTTTTTTTTAACTTCCATATGTTCCAACTTTCCTTTATTAATAACTTCAATTCGAACATTTTCACCTCAATTTTTGTCGATCTCTCAAACGCAGTTGATTTTTAAACAACAGTTGTCAACAGTTTTGTCAGTTGTCAGTTTTTCCATCCTTATTTTCTTCAGATTTCGTCTCAATTCATTCAATTCGGATTTGATCGAGGCAATCTCAGCTTCGACTTTTTTTTGTTCGAAGGAACTTGGACCAACAACAGTATCAACTTTTCGACTATGGAAAATGACACTCTTCTAAATTAACAAAATCTTCAAATATAATTTCTTTGTTTGGACGACGTCGCTGTGGGATGGGACTCAAACCGCTGCTCTTTTAGGATGCTCCAGAATCTTCAAATATATTTTTAGAGTTTCAAGGAAGGCATACAAAATCTGTAGCAAAACTCAATTCGGCAACAATTTTTGAGCTTATTCTGTAGGTTGTTGTAAAGAACAAATAAAGTCAAAAAATTAAATCAGATTTCCCATTCAAAAAGTGCTACAGTCGTACTAATAATTCAAATGGTGTATCTTCTTAAATTGGTAGACAACAAAAAAACATGTTCCAAAAAAGCTACTCTTACAAAATTTTGAGAATTATGAATTTTTGTACACTGACTATACAGGCTGTATTAGAAATACGTGTGTTAATTTTTAACATGTAACACACCTCGATAAATAATACATTTTTTTATTTGTATTATTTCAATAAAAGCTTTTAAATTTGATTTAAAATTTGGAAAAGATAACATATCAACACATATCCTATGGGTATCAAATTAAAAATTCCGAAATATTTTCGTTGTGATAGAAACGGAACTACATTAAAAGAACTGCATTGTTGTGATTATTCATTAAAATTAACGGTTCATTTACACAAAATTATGAGGGAATACAATAAAAACAATTAATAAGAATTTTGCAAAATATTATAGAAAAGTTGTTTTACTGGGTGAGTTCCTTCACGTGTTAAAATTAACACACACATTTTTTATACACTCTGTGTACCTATAGGGTATTTTCTTAATGCTACGATGACATCTAAAAATAAAAATAATTTGTCAAATAAATGATAGTCCTACGAGTTTAGCTTTATAGCTTCGTTATGTTTTACAGGCTCAAAAAGTTTCATAATAAAAATTAAAATCCATTTGAGTTATTTTCATAAAATTTTTCAGGCTTCGTGAACCATTGAAAGAGAATTTCTTTATTTGTACTCTTACCAGTACCGTGCGTACCGACACGTCACTGGATATTTTTATAGTGTATCGTGTCAGTTTTTGGCTACCATAGAAATTTTTACAATGACTCCTAATATTCAAAACCAACTAGAGCGTTTTAATTTTTTTTGGGTTTTTAGCCGCTTTTTTGTATGACACCTTGGTATGGATATACATATTTCAGGCAAAAATGTGCCGAAAAGTACCATTTTTCTATGTATTTTTTGGTCCTTTTCAATATAAAAACATGTGTTACTACGTACCAAGAATAAAATGTCGTAAACATATAACATCCTAATAACAAATTTTTACCCGACACCCAATAAAGATCAGGAAAACCGCACTTCGAATATTAGGGGTTGTTGTAAAAATTTTATGTTGCTAAAAAAATCTAAGCTATATATATCAAAACTTTTATAAACACTAGACACATATTTTTTTATTTAAAAAATAAATTCTGAACTTTGATCGCGTTCAGCTGCTTCAAAACATATGGCAGTAAAATCTTTTAGCAATTTTTAGCTTAATTTGACCTGGAGAATATACCTTTAACACATTGGCAAATGTTTTCATTCCACCTGTATAAAGGGAAATAGCAGTTACTTTTTAGAGTTTTTAATGCCCGATTTCACCGCCGTTGTTTAAACTTAAGAAAAGTTTCAATATAATTATTGTAAGTAAGCTAATCTTTTATGTTAGGTCTTTCTAATGGCCAAATGTAAAACTAAATGTACTTAGAACGTTAATAATTAATGTGATAGATGGATTACATTTTTCAGTTGTTATTGTAACAGTTGCAATAACCGCAGCGCATATATTATACTGGTTGTCCAAAAATTTGGTATACTCAAAAATGAAACAAATAAAATACATATTAAAAATCCCACTTTTTTTGATTTGATTATATTAACCCAAATTTGGCCCCTGTGACTAAAATCATAAATTTTTGAATAATAGATTGATCTTCAACTGACATGTTAATTGTCATAATACCTACATAATATTTATTACTTATTACCGACGACGAGGACCTTGAAGCGGCTGTATCTCGGGCTATCTTCAGATTTAAATAAGCAGGTACCGGGTGAGTATTAATGTTTGTGACTAAAAATACAGGCTGCGCCAGAACTCGCGCCCCAAAGAAAAATCCTATGCTAAATTGTAGCTCTGTTTAATGTTATTTGTGGCTTTTATTGCTGAAATTTTTATACTTTTACTAAGTAATTATAAAAAAAACATATACAAGATCATCCATTAAATAAAGACAAAAAAATGTTAAATGTCAAAAAATAAATGTCAAATTTTTTTGACATAGAATTTTTTAAACATTTTTTAAATATGCCTGGTATCTTATCTTACTTAATTTTTTTCTCTGGGGCGCGAATTCTGACAGCCTGTATATTAGCAACATTGAATTATTGGTAATCCTTCCAATTTGTTATATCAGAATGTTTTAGGTAAAGGCTAAGTCAGCAGTCGCCCGTCGCAAATGAAATGACAATTGCCTATAAAAGTTTGACGTTTAAATTTGAAAGTAAATGTTGTCAAACTAAAATTTAAAATTTGACATCAACTTGAGGTAAAAAGTCTAAAAAGGCACAATCATTTGCAGTCACCTGGTACTAATAGGATTTTTTTCTATGAAATATCACACTGTCAAAATTTTTTAGAAAATTTCTCGAACTGGTTCAGAAGAACATTCACAAGAAATTTCCAATTTTTTCGGAAAGCTTAAATGCAATAATTTTGGTTTTTCCAGTTGCTCAAAGTGCAAAAGATAAATATTTTTATCAAAACATTTCCTACAAAAAGTTCCTGTATTCCCAAAATTCTCTTAAATTCTACATCATAAAGTAAACAAATCGTCGTAATAAATTAATTTATTGGATTCATTGCATTGTCTTTCATTTCAAAAATAACGCCAAAACATTTCAAATATCAATAGTTATTTGTACATAACATTTTTTTGTATAGTAATAACCCCAAGAACCCCAAAAACCAAAAAGATATCAATTTGATAAATCAAATCATAATGTATCGCGAGCTCTTTGTAACGAACCCTATAGAAACTATAAAAAATAAAGTTAAAAAAGTATAACTTTCTATACGATTAATCGTGATGAAAATCCAACTTTCATATCACTATTCAAAAAAATATAAAAAGCTGTGATTTTAGAAGTTAATTGAGACCTACACCTCGTGCCATTAGCAAGGTTCTAACTGCGTTTTATAAAATTAAATAGGTCAAAAATATTTGATTTTTATGTAAAAGAAAAATCTATGTTACAATTTGACTTAATTAAAGACAAATCTAGAACCTAGACTAGGATTCTACCGTTGAACTACGAGTATGAACAATAACTATGGTGATTTTAAATCAATAGCGTTTCGTATAATTCACTCCTTATACATACTTTAGCTTATTGATATTTAAAAAAGCTTTTATTATTTCAACATATAGCTTGCAAGTGCTTCTTAGCATGGAAGATTTCGTCCACTTTTAGAAAGTAAAGAAAGAAAAAAAATTGTTTTTTTCTGTATTTTCTTTAACTGTGAATTTTTGGTTACCTAGCTATCGCACATTACTAAAGATATTGATGGTGGGTTGCTTTTACCGATAGCGACACCTAACAAAGTAAGTAGGTAAGTATATTACATTTTTTTAGCAACCACAGAAAAAGCTACATATCCGACAAACTACATATCTTCAAATAACTATGATGAAAATAATGATTGACACACTCAAATTTTAAAATCTTGTGAATTTATGTTTTTAAAGTTGCATATACTTACAATAACTTACAATAACACGCACAAGTTAATACAAAAAGTATATATTATTTACAAGTGATATAGTGGATTACATGGTAGGTGGAAAATGTATCTCCTCTAACCGATCGAGAGACAGTCCAAAGGGTAGGTAATGACATTTCCACCGAGGTTTGTATACTATATTATTCACAGTCACATTTCTTTAAATAATAAAATATCAATTTTCTGTGAAAGTTGATGCATTGACATAGTTGCTATGCAAACAAATTGGGTTTTTGTCTTTATTAGGCTCGTAACCTTGGTAATCCTTTTAAATTACTTCTTGACCACGGGATGTAATGACACATTTCTCGGCCTCCAAAAGATTAGGAATTGGCATATAACGAAAGTGACTGTGAATCAAAATTAATAAAAAAGCTTTAACTAACTTCAAACTATGATTCAATTAAAGAATATGTACTAATTAAGTGATCTTTATATCACTAAAGTTTAGCAAATACCAATTTGACAAAAATAATTCACATTTTAAGAATATCAATTATTTATTACACGACTTTATCCGGAACTTGAATCATCCTTGAACTTTTTGCTTCAAATATTTTGGAAAAACAAACATACAGAATTATGCGAAAAGTATCTTCGGAAGAAAGGCCAAAAGCGAAATTACATGCAAAATGAAATGAAGAAACTGAAGTTGGAAAAAAGAAAATTATTATTAGATGAAAAGAAAGTAACACAATCCAGGTTTTATTTTTAATTAATAATGAAACCAAAATTAATAGTAGTTATAAATCCGAGAGAGTAGGAATGATTATTCCCTGGTTTTCTAAAATCTCAAAAACGAAAGTTGTAACTGAGGTAATATTTTAAATGAGTTGTTTTTAAATCCATATCCATAGTAACACATAACCACATCAGATTTAATTCATGTTCTAGATTTATTCCATTCCACAATATACTTTCCAGTTCCATTGCCTCCAAAAGGTGGGGAATCAAACAGGCTAGGAGATGGACAGGAAAGATCCACTACCATTATCCTTGTCAGTCGATTTCAGTTGCTAGTGGAGTGAGCGGTTATATTTTAAATATTTAAGGTTTCAACAAAAGGATTCTTTTTGTACTGTGATTACTTAAAACAATGGAGAAGGAACCACAGCCCGATTCTATGGCAACTATTACAATTAAACCCGAATATCCACCATCTGAAATTTATTCTTCAGAACCACCTCCAGTAAGTATTTTTTTTTTAATTTCATATAATTCAATATTTTATGCAAATAATTTAAATAATTTTTAAAACCAAGTCAGCAAGTGAACTCATTGATTCTTTGTCTTTTCTATAGAATAGTCTAGTATTTGTGCTAAAAATTTTACAGTTACGTATTCTTTACAGTGGCAATTGTTTTATGTGAATAATGCAATCTCTTTTTTCAACAAATGGGTATTTATTACAGGCGTCATGGTCATTGCACATCACATAGTTTTACATTGTTGCACGAAGATTTCTACAATGACACAGGACTAAAAATAATGTTTTATTTTAATTAATAAATGGACAAACAAAAAATATATATCTTTGCCAACTTGTTATCGAATTAATATCCGTAACGACCAATTATAAAGGAAACCTTATTCCGATTTCTAAAACTGAAGTTATTTCGCATAATATTTATTACTTTAAACAAGGACACTGGTTGTAGTCATTATGAGTTAATGAGTTATAAGTAAATGCGCAATCGTTATGACGTTGGAAATCGTTTGTCAATATTGTTTTGGTTGGGAATTAGCACTCCTTTTTATGTCAAAAAATATATGTATATGATTGTTTGAAATCGAAATATTATATTTTACTTCAAAAGTTAATAAGTTAAGCAAGATTTTGTGGTGGCGTTTATATATCTAAACATATGGTTTATCTGTTTGACTTTACCATTTCCACGACTACCTTTCACTTGCTTTAGGATGCAGTAGGTAGATGTATTTAAGTAGTGTTTCTTGTTGCAGTTAATTTTCGCTATAATATTTTTCAAAATCCCTTTTTTTATTTCTTTTTATTTTCACCAATTGTTTAGTGTACAGGTGAAAATGATAATATCTTTTCATTGATGAACTTTAAAGAACCTTAATGGAAACCGTCTACATTTTTTGCAAAAAATTTTATGTTACACCTACCCATATTATAAGTGATTGCATGATCCTAGTTGCTTGTCAAAACTCGATTATCCACTTTACTTTGTATAATTATGATCTAAACTAATAGAAATGTCACTGGAGATATTTCTACCATTCAAGATCCTTGATGTGTTTACTTTTTTCTCTCAAAATTTGCAACAATGGAAATACCTTACTTTTTGAGTTAGCTTTAAATAACGAATCACAATTTCGCTTAAATTGTTATTTATTTAGATTCTTATACCTACATATTTTATATAAGTACTGGATACGAAGAATATGTACATTAATTTAATTTAAAAAAGTAACTACTAACATAAATTTGGTGCAAATTAAAAGAGACAGCCATGGCTGCCACTTATAAAGATGGCTATGAAACAACAACCCTCTGTCTTCTAGGTTTGACAGTTATTCTCACAATTAAGAGAACATCTTCAAGGAACCCATTATTTAAATAACTAACGACGTATATTTTAGTATAGGGATAAACCAAAAAAATATCTGGTTACTACTATACAGGGTGATTCAAAAGTTGAAAGTTGCCATGACAAAAAATTGATTGAGCCCGATATAGCTTTCCAAAGATTAGATTTTGTATTAAGTTTTTGACCGATCCGATTATGTAATCTTGAATTGAGCTAGCGGGAACGGCAGATGTTGTAAGACTGATGAAAAAAACTAGCAAATTCAACAACATCGGAAACAAAAAAATTAAGATGCCTACATGATAATATGAAAATTGACAGTTCTGTTTTTATCAAAAAAAAAAATTTGAAACAAAGATCTGAATTTATTTTTATGCTTAGCTGAAAGTCTTCTATCACCATTCGAGAGTTGTATGGCAATCCGACATTTTTGAATCACCGCGTATTTTTTGGTTGAGCATATTTCAGCGTTTAGCCATAACCATTTAGCTTGACTAAATAAACGTCTCGTATTTCATTGCACGGTTTTAGGTTACCAAAAATTTTTTATCATTCTATCCCATAGGGTATTTTAGGTTGTACATTTATTTTTTGACATTTGACATTTTTTGTCTATTTAATGATACTGATGATCTTGTATATGTTTTTTATAATTATTTAGTAAAAGAAAAAAAAATTGCCAATAATAGCCACAAATAACATTAAACAGAGTTACAATTTAGGCTATAGCTTCCTTGTTTCTTGTTCTAATAACCTGTAGCAAAAAAACTTGGAAAATTATTTTTCCAACAGAAATAAATAGAGTCAAAGTGCAAAATTTAAACTCTCATAACTTCGAAATTTTCATTGATATTTTTTTTAACATCTTTTCTATGTTCCTGGCATTTTTCTCTGGGGCGCGAGTTTTGGCGCATCCCTATATAACAACGTTTGTTTAATTGTATTTTGCATTGCGTATTGCTTTTTTCAAATAAGAATTTAAAACTCGGCGAATTTGGTGTAAAAATCGAGATCGCCTAAGGTGCCGTGGAAGTCCAAGGGCCTATAAAAGCCAAATTACGCCCACTTTTGGATGTTTAGAAACAAGTTCATACTTTAAAATATAAAATATTTTTATTTATTATCTATATTATGTTTAATTCTCCATCTATTCTTTGAATAATATTTAGTTGTGAAACAAAATGTTCCATTGTTTTTTTCCTTAATTTTCCAATATATTTTAATTACTCCTACTACATATTTATTGGGCTTCAAATTTTAAATTTTTATTTTAAAGAATTAAATTTATATTAAATAAGGATTTTGGGAGAATGGTTCACACAAGCGAAAAATTATATATTAATCATTATAATCTTACCTGGCTCGTCTAATAGTATATTATAACCTACACGATTGTGTAAAGGGCCAATTTTTCTTTTCTTTGAATAATAGTTGTGAAACAAAATGTTCCATTGTTTTGTTTTTCTATTTAATTTTCCATTATATTTTAATTACCACTCCTACTTAATTGGCTTTAAATTAAAATGTATTAAATTAAAAGCCAATTTACAAAAAATGAATCAAAACTTTTATTCAGAATTAAACAAGGTGGTTCGCTAAAACATGATTTGTCTAATAATTATGGTGATTTTTCAATGAATAAGATATCGTATAACTCACGGGTAAGCTAAACAATAACCCATTTGTGAGAAATTTCTTAGCTCAGTGATTTTTAAAAAAGACAGGTTCAATTTATATCAACATGTACCGTGAAAGTGCTTCTCAGAATAAAAAAACACAAAAGGTGTTAAAATAATCACAATTTATGAGAGTCATCGGGCTCTTGGGTGACTTATTTATAATATAAACACACTTACGAGTAACCATTGCTTTCCATTGCCAAAACTTAAATTAATGGCATATTATAATTGCAGAAACCGGTTTTTAGATCGTTATAAAAAAATGAATACAAGTATTAATTACGACCTTAAAGTAATGGTGTATTTACTTTTTATTTATTACGCCTATATTTTTTATTCTTCAATGACAATTAATTTCAGAATTGGATGTAAAAACCTTATAGCCAATGGGTTAAACAAAGTGAAAGGAAAGTGACGCGAAAACTGTCAACAAGATTTTAATAAGGTAGCGTTTGTACAGTGCGGCCGTTGAAAACTAAGACACTTTGACAAATACAAAATTTTGTTGTTGTAAAATGCCTTGAAACTGAAGTTTCTAAAATGTCATTAAAATAATACGAGTCAGTGTCGTAGAGCAAAAAACTTTAATTCAAAACAGTGAATTTTAGTTTTGTAGACAGAAATAACTACACTAATTTATTGCAACACCATTAGAATTTGAAAAATTAACTAACATTGTCATCCTTGATGAAAACTTTATTTACAGTATACAAATTTGTAAAATAGCAAATAGTATGCCAAAAGTTAATGTCTTAGTTTTCAAAGGCCGCAAATGTACATACATATTGGGTGTTTATGGTTTTGGGGTTGATATTCTGGTAATACAAAAAACTCCAAACCAAAATATTGGTTTGATGGTCATTGAAATGATTTCTTTTTCAGAAAAAATTAATTGTTACAATTAAAGAAAAATCAGTTTATATGTTTGACACTGTAATTCTTTGATTTGGTTTGGTTTTCATTACTATTTAAATTGTAAAGTCTTCTGTTTGATAAAATGATCACTCTAACCTAACGAAATCATTTTCAAGTTTCAACTTGGACTTTTTTTCTTCAAATTATGAATATGGATCACAAATACATATTAAAATAACAAATTTGTTGTCATAATTATGATTTACCTTGCAGTGCAGATCTCAAACAAATAATATAATAGTTATTTATTGTAAGAGTGTGTTAGGTAGCGTTTTATCCACGCAAGAATGTTTAACCGCGAGAACGTCAGTTCAAGCGGTTAATTTTCTTAAGTGGTTAACGCGCGACTAACACACGACTGCAATATAACGTTTTATCCACAATCACAGGCTCAAATTATTCCAAACTTAATTAAAAATTAAACTGACATTTAAACGTCACGCCAAATGTGCTTTCGGTTAAACGTAGTAAGCTGTTTCGCGGTGCGCTGGTTACTAACAATGGAATAAAGTTACTTTATTCCACTAGTGGATAAACTGCTACTTGATACGCATTTAAAGTGTGGAATAAAGTCTCTTTATAGAGTGATTGTGGATAATAGTTATTAAATTATTTATTATGCAAGACGATCAAAGTGAATCTTATCTTTGAGAGCAATTTAGCGTCGAGGCGTCAGCCGAGACGCTAATATGCTCGAAAACATAATGAAAATTTTATCGTCGTGTACAATATAAAATTTTATTCAATCCTCACAAATTTTGTAGTCAATTTGGTCGGTATTTATAAATGTCAAAGTAAAATTCAACAATGAAATCTAATGTCAAACATCGTTAGCAACTAACAACCGCAGATAAACATCAATGGATGTATTTTTTATCATCTAGACGATAAAATTTCATTTTAACATGAAGAAAAGAGTAGATAAAATTCAATTTTAACATAGAGGATTGAATAAAATAAATGATTTACTTTTGTGAGGTAAATTTTATTTTATATTGCGTCATGGTTTTCGTTTACCGTGCATGTGCATGATATCAACT